GTTGACAGTTGATCCAAGAAGAATGAAGTTCTTGACAACTTCAATCTTTTTTCCATTGATAAGAATGTTGTTTATTGGTCCAGTGGTCAGGATTTTTGTTTTCCTGACATTGAGATGCAACCCATACCGAAGGCTGTGCTCATCTGGCAATATTTACTCATCTGTTATTGTGTGGACATAGTTGTTGGCTTAGTGTTTACTTGTACGTCTTGACTTTTCCCTCAACACCTGTCTCTCATTTGACAGACACCAATAGCTCTGTCAATATCAGTTACATGAGTGCATATAACTGAATTCTGGTCACTGGTGCATGTGGAAGGGGTACATGGCACTACTAGGTCTAGTTCATACAAATCTACACTACAACTCCTCATTTGTTTCCCCTATGGCTATCTTAAAAGCCATTTCAGAAGAGCCATTCTCATGTCTTTGAATATGGAAATTCCACCCCAATTTATTTATACCTGCTTTGAACTCTTATGTGAGCAAGAAATTAACTTTTATTATGTTGAGCCACAATATGATTTCGTCTATTAGTTAATGCAGCCTAGCCTACCCTAACTTGTACACCTATTTTTTTCTGACATGGCTATTGAGGATCTAATCCCCCTATAAATATTATTCCAGTCTTTATTCTACAATGCTGGCAGAGATTATGGTCACTGGGGCCATTCTGGTACAAATTATCTAAACCAAAGTGTTTGTGGATAAAAATTAGAGTGAGCAAATGAGAACTTCATGTTTGTTTTATAGTGAGCATGATAGAAGGGAGAAATGGACACAGAAAAAGAAGAGAGATGGTAAAAAGAGAAGAGGAACTAGAAGTATTAGGGAAAAGACTGGAAAGAAAGGAGGTAAAGAAGAGAGAGGAAACAGGAGAGAAAACAGCAGGAAAAGAGTGTAAAAAGCCTGATGGAGTAAAATTGAAGTCATGTGACTCTTAAGGTTTGGAAAAAATTCTTCTCTCATGGCTTTTCAGGAACCCATCACATTCAACCTCTTGTATTAAAAGATGCTTATTCACTTGTCTGGGGCTTGGTCCAGCACCTTGTTACCCTTTCACAATCCTCTGACTAGGTCTGATGTTGTGCTTTAGTAACCTGAGGTTCTGTGTCAAACCTGAGATTAGTTCCCAATCAAACTCTTTTGAAAATAGCATTTCCTCTTGACAGGAAAAAAGAAGAGAGATAAAGGTTACATCAACAGGGGACATTCTCAGTTTCAATAATTTTATCTATAGATTGCAGTGGCTGGGAGTTAATTAGGCCAGGTAGTTTTGCCACTCTCCACCCACCCACCCCTTTTTTTCTGACTAATTAGTTTGAAAATGGGTTCTAAAGAAAACCATAATGGTTCTCAGTACCAGCAATGGGGTGGTGGTAATTGAGTGGTTAGGAGAAAAGCCCCCTTGAAGCATTTTTCTAACTGGGCTTTTAGAAATCAGTGTATTTTTCAGCACCATGGGCATCTCAGGGCCTGCCTTGGCCAGATTGGAGGACACAGAGATGACTTCAATAATACAAGGCCTAGAAATTCCTAGATAGCTGGCTGCTATAGTCTGTGACTTTATTTAATTATGCAATGATCAGAAACCTTTACATTTTAATTAAGGAGTCACTGTAATGAAGCCATTCTGCTTCTACTCAGGGCAAACTCACTCATTCTCTTGCTGCTCCAGGAGGGTCTTCAGCACTAATTGGCTGTATGGTAGCTCGATCTTGACAGTACGAGGTATATAGTGATCCCTTTACTTTTCTTGTAATGCATTCTCTGGTCTTTTTGCTCTCCTCCTCTTTGATTTGCCTAATTAGTGCTAATAATTTAAAAGCTGCATGGTCCTCTTTTGATCCTGCTGTCAATGGCAGACAGTCATTCCATTAGCAGGTATTAAATAGCGCTAATAGGCAGTGACACACGGTTGGAGCTGGCTTGCATACAGTTTTAGCTTGGGACCCTAGGGCTACCTTATACTCTCTCTCTCTTTAACGCACACACGCACATCATCTGATTCACTTTATTCCTAGAAAAAAATCATTCTGGGCAAAAGCAGCTTAGAGCTCTGTGTCTTCTTAATAACTGTTTGAGGCCCCCTTTATTGTGGGCTGGCATTGAAAACCACATGATTTATTCCACATTTCAGGATTTTAATGATTAATTCATGAATGTATCTGCAAGAATGCCAAGGTCTCAAAAATAATGAAAGTCTTTTTTTTTTCCTAAAGTTGTTTGTTTTCATTTGAAATCAAAGCAATCTGTCTTGTGTATTCACTTCTCTCCCCCTTCACTCCCTTCACCCTGAAAAGGAAAAAAAAAAAGTTCATTTCATTGGGGTCTTGATAACATTTTGACAATAGAATTCATTTACATTTATCAAAATAAACAGATAAGTCTTCCATCTTCGCCCTGTTGAGCTGTCACGGATAGGTCTCTCACCTCCAACAGGCATCATTAAGCTCGAGGTCATGTGCAGCAATTCAGCCTGTGTGTTCCTAAACCTTCTGGAACTTCTGTTGAAATGTAAAAGGCTGTTTAGATGGAGGGACCTGGAATGAGCTTCCAGCAAGACATTTTCCAGGTCTTGGGAAGGCAGACATTACAATTCTCATTTTAGTGCGGGCTCAGCCATAAACCCCTGATTTAAAGGGAGTAAGATTAAGAACATGGTTAAGAATGTTGGTTCTAATTAGACTGACTGAGTTTCATTCCTTGCTTCATCATGTATCCAACAACTGTGGTTTTCCATGGCACTGCTGGGTGAATTTCAACTGCCAATCTTTGGGTTAGTAATTGAATGAAAGCTGTTTGTGTCACTTAGGGATATTAAAATAATAATAATAGCTATATTACAGAGTTGTGAGAAGTAAATGAGATGATACATGGAAAATACTTAGGATTGCACCTGGCACATAATATGTGTTCAAAAATTTTAGGAATGATGATGATGCTGGTGGTGAACTAGTACACAGTTCATTTATTAAGACCTTATATTCTGTGTGAGAGAAAACAGTTACTCTATTGTTTGTAAGATAAAGATCAACTCTGTGGTTTTGGAGCACCAAAGTTAAGTTTTATTTTTTAATGCCTCCATTAGGACTGGTTTTGAGAAGTTGATATACTTTCTTAACATAGTCCCATTATCTTGACAGTGCTGTTTTATAGACCCAGACACAAGCAAAATAGTCTGAAGATGTGCTGTGAGGCCTAATGCTAAATGAGGATCCACTGCTGCCAAGCGACTGCACCTGGGCTAAAACTGACCCTTTTGGACTTGGGCCTTTGCACAAGGGTCTAGGTGGGTGTCACGGGGAGAAGTCATCCAGGATAAACAACATCTTTCTCTTTGTGCCTTATTAATTTTATGTTTCTTAAAAAGCCACTTATTTATTTAGAAAAATTAACAAGTGCATGGCATAAGGTTTTAATGATACAAAAGGCTATACTCTTATAGTGAAAAGTCAGTTTGTTTCCCATTCTGATCTCTCCTGGAAGTGGTCACTATTATCTGGCTCTTGTGTATCCTTCTACCAATATTAAATACAGACATGGACACAAGGAGCATACCTCTATCCCCCCAAATGTTGTTTGTTGTTGTTATGTGCCGTGGAGAGTTGGTTCAGACTCATAGCTACCCTGTACAGGGTTTCCGAGGCTGTACATTTTTACGGGAGCAGAACGCCTCATCTTTCTCCCATGGAACAGCTGGTAGTTTCGAACTGCTGACCCTGAGGTTCGCAGCCCGATTCGTAACCACTACACTACCAGAGCTCTTTATGCTATTTATTTTGTCTCTTGTATCAAACAAGGAACTCTGGTAACGTAGTGGTTATGAGTCAGGTTACTAACCTCAAAGTTAGCAGTTTGAAACTATCAGCTTTTCCTTTGGAGAAAGATGAGGTTTCTGCTCCTATAAAGAGTTATAACCTCAGAAACCCTATACAGGGTCACTATGAGTTGGAACCAACTCTGCAGGACACAACCACCACTACCACTTGTATCAAATAGTAAAGCTCAAAAACATTCCACATAACTACACCATCACCATTCCCCAATTGATGGAAATATATTGTTGTTATTAGGTGCCAATGAGTAGGCTCCAACCCTTAGAGACCCTACATAACAACAGAATGAAACACTACTTGGTCCTGTGCCATCCTCACAATTGCTGTTATGTTTGAGCCCATTATTGCAGTGGCTGTGCCAATTATTCTTGTTGGGGCCTTCCTCTTTTTTTTTTTTTGCTGACCCTCCACTTTACCAAGCATGATGTCCTTTTCCAGGGATTGATCCCTCCTCATAACATGTCCAAAGTATATGATACTATGCCTCACCATCCTTGCTTCTACGAACCATTGTGGTTGTGCTTCTTCCAAGACAGATTTGTTTGTTCTTATGGTAGTCCATGGTCATTTGAATATTCTTTATCAACTCCATAATTCTAATGCACTGATTCTTCTACAGTCTTCCTTATTCATAGTCTGGCTTTCACATGTACAGCAGGCTCTTGAAAATACTATGACTTGTCCTCAAAGTGACATCTTTGCCCTTTAACACTTTAAAGAGGTCCTGTGCAGCATATTTCCCCAGTACAACATGTCACTTAATTTCTTGACTGCTGCTTCAAAAAGCATTGATTGGAAATCCAAGTAAAATTAAATCCTTGACAACTTTAATCTTTTCTCTGTTTATCATGATGTTATTTGCTGGTCTGGTTATAAAGATTTTTTTTTTTTTTTTTCATTGAGTTGTAATCCATACTGAATGCTGAATACCCATTCTTGGCAAGGTTATCCATAGTTTTAAATGCTCCACAAAGTCGAATGCCTCTGCACAGACAGTGAAACACAGTAAACATTCCCCCCCCCACCCGATGTTCTCTGTTTTTAGCCAAGATCCATCTGATGTCAGCAATAATATCCCTCATCACATGTTCTCTTCTGAAGCCAGTTTGAATTTCTGTTCCTTCCCTTTTGATATGCTGCTGCAACCACTTTTGAATATCTTCAGTTAAATTTTACTTGTGTTTGATGTTAATGTTATTGTTAGATAATTTCAGCATTCTGTTGAGTAACCTTATTTTTGGAATGGGCACAAATAAGGATTTCTTCCAGTTGGCTAATAAGGTCTTCCAAATTTCTTGGCACAGACTGGTGAGTGATTTTAATGCTGCATCAGCTTGTTGAAATATTTAAATTGCTATTTTCTCAGTTCGTGAAATCTTGTGTTTTGCTACTGTCTTTTGTGCAGCTTGGAATTCTTCCTTCAGTATCATCAGGTCTTGATCCTGAAATGGTTAAATATCAGCCAATTATTTTTGGTATAGTGACTCTGTGAATTCCTTTAATCTTTTGATGGTTCCTGTACTGTTCAATATTATGTCCATATTGTTGTTGCTGTAGAGTTGGTTCCAACTATAGCAACCCTATGCACAGCAGAATGACACACTGCCTGTTCTTGCACTATTCTCACAATTTTTGTTACACTTGATCCCATTGTTGCTGCCATTGTGCCAATCAGTCTCATTGGGAGTCTTCCCCTTTTTTATTGACACTCCACTTTACCAAGCATAATGTCCTTCTCCAGGGACTGGTCCCTCCTGATAATATGTCCGAAGTATGAGAGAAGCAGCCTTGCCATCCTTACTTCAAAGGAATATTCAGGCTGTAATTCTTCCAACACAGGTTAATTTGTTCTTCTGGTGGTACATGTACTTTCATTATTCTTATCTAACACCATATCTCAAATACATCAATTCTTCTATGGTCTTATTGTTCATTGTTCAACTTCACACGCATATTGTTGTTAAGTGCTGTCGAGTTAGTTCCGACCCATAGCGACCGGATATAGGGTTTCCGAAGAGCAGCTGGTGAGCTTGAACCACCAACCTTGCAGTTCAAATGGTTTTGAAGTCTGGTGCATTAACCTACAGTGCCACACCAGAACTCCTCACTTGCATATAGGTGATTGAAAATACCATGACTGAGTCAGGCACACCTTAGTCCTCAAACTGATATTTTTGCCCTAGAACAATTTAAAGAGGACTTGTGCACCAGATTTCCATAATGCAATATGTCATTTGATTTCATAACTGCCTCTTACATAAGTGTTGATTGCAGATCCAAGCAAAATGAAGTATTTGGCAGCTTCAATCTTTTCTCCATTTATCATGATGTTATTTATTCATGCAGTGGTAATGATTATTATTATTATTTTTATTTTACATTGAGATGCAATCCATACTGAAGGCTGCAGTCTTTAATCTTTATCAGTAAATATTTTAAGTCATCTTTGTTTTCAACAAGCAAGATTGTACCATTTGCATATTGCTCATTGTTAATGGGTCTTCCTTTAATCCAGATGCCTTGTTCTTCTTTATATAATCCTGTTTCTTGGATTATTTACTCAGCATACAGCTTGAATAAGTATGGTGAAAGATACAACCCTGACACACACCTTTTCTGATTTTAAACCATTCTGTTTCCCTTGTTCTGTTTGAATGACTGTCTCTTGGTCTATGTAAAGAATCTTCATTAACACAATTAAGTGTTCTGGGAAACCACTCTTCTCATTGTTATCCATAGCTTGTCATGATCCACAAAGTTGAAAGCCTTTTCATAGTCAACAAAGCACAAGGAAATATTTTTTTCTCGTATTCTTGGCTTTCAGCCAAGATCCATCTGATGTCAGCAATGATATCTCTAGTTTTAATTTCTTCTGAATATGGCTTGAATTTTGGCAGTTCTCTGTTGATGTACGGTTGCACTCATTTATGAATTATCTTCAGCAAAAATTTACATGCAAGTGAAATTAATGATATTGTCTGAAAATTTTTGCATTCCATTGGGTCACCTTTCTTTGGAATGGGCACAAATATGGATCTCTTCCAATTGGGTGGTTAGGTCTTCCAAATTTCCTGGCATGGATGAGTGAGCACCTCCCATGCTGAAAAATTCCCATATTGAAGAATTCCAATTTATATTCCGTCAAATTCTGGAGTCTTGTTTTTTTTGCCAATACCTTCAGTGTAACTTGGATTTCTTCCTTGAGTACAATCAGTTCTTTATCATATGCTATCTTTTGAAATAGCTGAACATTGACCATTTCTTTTCGGTACAGTGACTCTTATTTCTATCCATCTTTTTCTGATGCTTTTTGCCTATGGACTTCTTCAATATTTCAAGTCAAGGCTTGAATAGTTTCTTCAGTTCTTTCAGTTTGAGAAATGCTGAGCATGTTCTTCCCTTTTGGTTTTCTAACTGTAGGTCATTGCACATTTCATTATAATACTTTGTATTCTCCAGCTCCCCTTTGAAATTTTAAGTTTAGCTAAACTTAAACTAAAGTTTTCCTCATTCACTTTAGTATCTCTGTGCTGGAAATCAAGTTTCAGAGTCTTTTCTGACAACTATTTTGGTCTTTTTATTCTTTCTTATGTTCTTTTTTTTTTGGTTTGTTAGAGTACATTTA